CCTGCCAGCCCAGAGTGCCAGCAGCGTCACCCCCCAGGCCTGCAGGGCTCAGCACAGCATTCCCTGGCACTGCGAGCCTGGGGCAGCTTTCCATGCACAGCAGATGAAGGAGGATGACATGGGAGGGCTGTGGGGGGGTGTGTGCAACCCCCAGGACAAAATTAGCCCGTGCCAGTGCCAAATTCCAGCTCCGTGGGATTTGCAGCAGATTCTCTGGGCACAGCTTCAGGCTTCCCCAGGGCTGCCCCGCCAGGGCACAGGCCCTCCCCTCACACCCTGCTAGCAAAGGGCATTCCTGGGCCCTTCTCTAGAAAACTCAGCACAAAGCACTGGGAGAGACTTGGTTTTGCTGGGGAGATGCTGCCTGTGCAGAGGCAGTGACTGCATGGGAAAGGCATTTGGCAGGGGCTGCTGATCCCAGCCCATCCACCGGGGATGGGGAGCTGTGTGGGGAGGGGACTCGGCCTGCAGGCTGGGGAGGAAGGGGGGCTTGGAATGGAAAAGGCAACAGGTGGCAAGACTCAGCATGGAACCCATCCCTCCCTCCCCCTGTCCGTCCGTCCGTCCGTCCGTCCGTCCTGAACATTCTGTCCAGGCAGGAGCAGGAGCAGGACAGGCCCCAGGCTGGGCCCAGAGCAGCCCCCCAGCACCCCCAGCTCTGGGAATGGGGAGCAGGGACAGCCCTAGACAGGCTGGGGAGATGTTTCAGCAGAATGATCTCCTCTGCATTTTTTAAGGAATTCTCTCAATCTCTCTCCACTGTCCCCATTCTTTCACCTTCAGGTCAGGGCTGACCCCAGGACAGGAGGGCCTGAGCACCCCTGGGAAATGCTGCCCCAATTCCCTGCCCAGGAGCTGATCTGGAAACATGGGGTGCACTGGAAACAAGCAGCAAAGGAGGGGAGCACACAGGGCAAACAGGGCTGTGCTCCCCCAGAACAGGTGCAGCACCCCAGGGACCCAGGGTGCTGTGAGCGAGGTTTGGAGCTGCTGTGCTCACTGCTCCAACCCTGTCCCACCTGCATCCCACGGATCATTCCATGTTTGAGGCAGAATTGCCTCTTGGCAGATGCTTTAAAAAACCCACCTTGGATTTAGGATTCACTTTAACAAGGTAAAAATGCACCAATTCCAGCAGTTTCTACTACAGGAAGAGACTCAGATGTGGAACAAGGCAGACACTGAGCACCAAATCTGCTCTCCTGTGACTCAGCCATTACATCCCACTGCAGGACACATTCCAGGCACCAAATACCCCACTCTGACACTTCCAGCCCAGCCACAGCAGCCAACAAACCTTGGGACTGCTTCAAATGGGGATGATTTGATTTCATTTCTTCCTCTGTGCCAAATAATGAAACACACACCAAGTTGCAAAAGAAATACTGAAAATCTGATCTAGCTTTTTTGCCGTCTTCATAAACGATTTATGAAACACTGAAACAAAAACTCCAAAAGACTGAAATAAATATTTCCTTATTTCCTATTCATTTTTATTTCCATTGGAGGCAATTTAATAATCTGCTGTCAAATGGGCTTTGTGCTGGACACAGCCACTTGTTAATAAACATTTTCTCCAATCCACAGATGGAAGAAACTTCAGGATACAAAGTGGGCCCAGAAATGCTTACATGAAACATTTACTTAAGCTTTGGGACTGTTGGTTTCTGATGAAAATTTCAGGGGAAAAATAGATACAGAAAGATTTATACAGTCACTAAAAAAAGCTTTCAGAGGTGCATTCCAAAGGGAAATTTGGGCCTGTGAACTTTGCCAGCCATTTTAAGGCAAACCGAAATGAGGCGGCTCAGCTTGGCCTGCAGCCAGCCAGGGCCACATTTGACATGCCAGATCAAATTTTCTACTTCAATTAAATATTACAGTAACAAACCATGAGACCAGTGGAAAGAATTTTTGACCCTCTCCTTCTCAGGAAGACAAACCTTCCCTGGAGGTCAGCACCAGGAGCAGAACCAGCAGCTGCAGGTCAGGCACCTCAACAACACCTTTTGCTACAAATGTAATGGAAAATAAGCCCAGAAAAAATTCTTGTATTTGAAGATGTGGGAGTGCTCACAGGTATCATTCTGGGTGCCCTAGTGTCTACCAAAATACATTTCCTGAATAATTCACTTTTATTTCCCCTGCTGTGTCCCAGTGTCACACATCTGGACTGACCAAAGGCTTTTGCTCCCTCCTCATCCTTTGCTTCTCTGCCCCAAACCCACAACACGTGGTACTGAAAACTGGGCTGCTTTTGCCTTGTTAAGAATAAAAACATCAACAAATGGAAAACACTTAGGAGGCCTCCATACATCTGAAGTTTTAGCTTGGAAATGTACCTGCAAAAATCAGCCCCTGCTCCAAATCCTCACCTACCCTGTGCTGATAAAACCTCCCCAAGCTGGGTCTGAGCTGAGCAATAAATCCCAAATCCTGGTTAAAGGCAGAGATGTGGTAAAGCAGGGCAGTGGCACAGGTCTGTCTGAGCTGTCACCCTCCCCAGCCAGGTGTGGCTGCACTTTGTGCTGCTTCCCTGGGCAATCCATCGCTTGGCTCATCCCCTCCTTCAGAACAGGGACGGGAAATGTGGGCCCTGAACTTCATTTATTTCTTTAGAAATAAAAGATTTCATGTCCCCAAAGCTACTGAGCTATCCCAACCCAGAGAAATCTGCAAAATTAAACGGCAAAATACTGCAAGGCTGCAGAATTCCATTTCATATCCTTAAGGCAGGTGGAAATCAGAAGCAATTGCACTGCAAAACGCAGCTGGAAAGGCAGGGATAAGCAGAGAAAATACAAAAATGTGCTGTGAATGTGCAGTATCCTCAGTGTGCCGTTGCCACCCGGGCTCAGACAGGCACAGCCCAGCCCGGGTGGAGCTTCCGGTCCCCGCCGCGGTCCCGGCAGGGCAGAACCGCCCGGGCCGGGCTGGGAACCCCGAGAGAGCCGGGCAGGCCCTGCCGGGGAACACCGCAGGCAGCCCGGGCTGAGAGCACAGACAGCAGCCCTGAGCCAACAGGGAGCCCCCCAGGAGCACAAATCTCTGGATTTTGCGGTGCTCTGAACTCCAGAAAATGTCTGAGCACGCAGTGTCTGGGCCTGTTCCTGCTCCACAAAGGGCACGGTGAGAAACGCAAGTGGAAGTGAGAAAGAGAATTTCCAGGGTCTGTTCTGGGTGGCTTTCCTGGGTCGCTTGGTGAGCACAGAGCAGTCACAGCCAGCTGAGCAGCAGACACAGGGTGGGAACACCACTGACCCATTTTGAAAGGCTGCCATGACATTTATCTCCTGCTTTGCCTTGGAACAGAAGGATGCAGAGTTTTATTTTAAGCCCAGGGAAGTGCTGGCTCTGAGTGGCCACTCCTCCTCCCAGGACACGTTTTTCAGGCTCCTGCTGGCACAGGGATTAAGAAGTTCCCCAGTTGTGTAAATGGCATTTCAGAAGGAATGTTCCTTGACCAGCGACAAGGATTCAGATCTGCTTCTGGAGGTTACTGAGACCACAATTCCCACACCTGGGAGCTGAACTTGGAATTTTCCACGTGCTGCTCTCACAAATCACAGCCCTGAGTCTCCCTGAGAACCACATGAGAAGGGAGAGGGCTCTGACAGATTCTTTCAAATTTCCAGTTAAACTCAAATTTTAAAATGCCCACTGGAGGTTCTGCCATGTGGGAAAAGG